AGCAGTAAAGAGTTCATTGAGGACAATACATTCTTGCAAAAGCGGGGGTCCAAAGCAGGCACAGTCCAGCTGGGGCAAAGAATGAGCTTATATTCCCCATGCACACGTTCCCTCCCTCGCCTTCCCATTGGTTGGGTGCTACATGGTTTTCCTTCCCCCAATTATCAAATAACAGACAAGAGGCTGAGCGTGGAGAGAAACTTCTCCTTCCTCCTCTGAGTTGCCTCCACTTCCGGCTTCACCAGCAGAGATAAAATCGGAGCTTGCAAAGGAGGGAGGGAAGAAGGCGGGAAGAGGGGCTGCATCAGGCGGAGGAGGGGTGTTATGTAGTGTAGTTTCACCCTGGGCCAACAGGGGGATACTGTATATAGTTTTCACTCAGGTCTGTAGATAGTTTTCACTCAGGTCCGCGGCAGTTATTTTAGGCGGGAACTCTGGGCTGTTGTGGTTACAATGTTGACAGCCGGCTGCCTATAAATACAGGCCGGCTGAGCTGTCGCAGTCAGTTGTATTCCAGCTTACCATAATAAAGAGCTACTTGAAGAAATCGCTGTGCCGGCTGCTATGTCAACCCACGACTTAACACTGGCGACGAAGGTGGGATTGATGGACATCAGAGCACAGCCAGATGCGGCCAGCCTCTGAACTGAGCCTCTTCACCGACTCCTTAGCACTAAGACGCCTTGGGCCTGGGGTCATCGGGAGACGGCGGCCTTCAACGCGGTCAAGGCTCTCCTTTCGTCAGACAGTGTGCTGGTACAGTACAGTGAATCCAGGCCGCTGGTCCTTGCCTGCGACGCCTCACCTTTTGGCATCGGTGCTGTCCTTAGTCACCGTTTTCCAGATGGAAGAGAAGCACCGCTCGCCTACTTTTCCAGGACACTATCTCCGACGGAACGGAATTACAGCCAGCTCGACAAGGAGGCATTGGCACTTGTGGCTGGAGTGAAGAGGTTCCATGAATACCTCTATGGCAGGACTTTTGACCTCATCACTGACCACAAGCCACTCCTGGGCCTCCTCGCCGGTGATCGTCCAACTCCACCGGTCCTCTCACCACGCATGCTGCGATGGACTGTTTTCCTGGCTGCCTACCACTACCGGCTCATCCATCGCCCGGGGAAATCGATGGGCCATGCCGACGCCCTCAGCCGTTGCCCTCTTCCAGCATTTGTGGAAGACCCGGCTCCAGCTTCATCGCTCCTTCTGATTGAGGATCTTCCGGCAGCGCCTGTATCGGCTGCCACTGTGGCCTCCGCATCTGCCCAGGATCGCACCATCAGCCGGGTGCTCAACTGGGTGTGGAGGGGGTGGCCACAAGGGCCTTTTGCATCGGAGTTCCAGCCCTTCGCAACCAGACAACATGAACTCTCAGCTCATCGTGGCTGCCTGCTGTGGGGAGACCGCGTCGTGATTCCCCAGGGACTCCGTCAGCGCGTCCTGGAGGCTCTGCACGTTGGCCACCCGGGAATTGTCAAAATGAAGGCGTTGGCTCGGTGTTACGTCTGGTGGCCTAATATGGACGATGCCATCACTGCCTGGGTGTCCGCCTGTCAAGCGTGCCAGGAGTCGAGGCCTGCACCACCGGCAGCTAAGGGACACACCTGGGAGACGCCAAAGACACCCTGGTCGAGGGTGCACATCGATCTGGCTGGCCCCTTTCACGGCCGGACCTTTATGGTAGTGGTGGACGCCTATTCCAAATGGCTGGAGGTCGCACTGATGCCCTCCACCACTACCGAAGCTGTCATCCGGGTGCTGCGAGGCCTGTTTGCAACGCATGGGTGTCCTGATGTCCTTGTCTCTGACAACGGACCGCAGTTCACGTCAGGCACGTTTGAGCGGTATCTTTTGGGACTGGGCATCCGCCATGCCCTAACGGCACCCTTTCATCCATCCAGCAACGGGCAAGCGGAAAGAATGGTGCGCTCGACAAAAGAGGCACTGGCGCGCCTGGACCGGGGAGACTGGCATGAGCGGGTCGCCGAATACTTGTTCGTGCAACACATCACCCCTCATGCGGCCACAGGGAGGAGTCCTGCTGAACTGCTTATGGGCCGCCGCCTCAGGTCACCGCTCGACCGGCTACACCCAGACTTTGCCGTGGCTGAACCCCCAGGCTGTGCCAACGCACCACGGTCATTTGTCCCAGGAAACCAGGTCTTTGCCCGGAACTATGTGGGGGACATCCCTTGGGTGCCAGCCACAGTAGTGGGAGTCACTGGACCTCGCTCGTACCAGGTGGCACTCGAAGACGGACGCTTGTGGCGACGGCACATAGACCAGCTTAGGCGCAGGGTTGGGGACTTGGACACTACCGAGGTGCCCCCAACTGCGTTTGCGGCTCCAGAAGAGACACGTACAGATGGCGAGGCCCCACCTACACCTCCCTCGCAAACTGCCAGCGTGGAGCCGAACCAAGCCGTTTCAGAACAGACTCAGACCACTCCACTTGCGGAGGCTCCACCCACAGCAGCGGATCCAGGGGAGTTGGTTCCAACGCCACCTAGGGTCGCACCACAGCCTCAGCGAGAACTGTGTGGCCCTCCGGACTTGGCTACCAGTTCCCGGCGGTCTGGCAGAGTTTCCAAGCGCCCAACTTATTTAAAGGACTATGTTGTTGGACAGGTATCACTGTTGGTCTAAGTATGGGAAATGTAACCGATATGCTTTTGTGCTTAATGGAACCATTACGCGTAGTGCTGTATATAAGGAAACCATTACGATTGTAACTAACGCCTTATCTCGGTGGGGAGGGGTGTTATGTAGTGTAGTTTCACCCTGGGCCAACAGGGGGATACTGTATATAGTTTTCACTCAGGTCTGTAGATAGTTTTCACTCAGGTCCGCGGCAGTTATTTTAGGCGGGAACTCTGGGCTGTTGTGGTTACAATGTTGACAGCCGGCTGCCTATAAATACAGGCCGGCTGAGCTGTCGCAGTCAGTTGTATTCCAGCTTACCATAATAAAGAGCTACTTGAAGAAATCGCTGTGCCGGCTGCTATGTCAACCCACGACTTAACAAGGGGGCTTCTTCCTAATTAAGCCTCCTAATTAAGCGCCCTCACTCCCTGCCTCCCACGCGGGGGCTCCCAATTCCCGCCCCCGCTGCCCGGGATTTCGGGTGAGTGCAAAGCCAGTGGCGGGGAAGGAGGGAAGGGGCTTTGCGAGGGGGTCCAGGATGAGAAGCCCCCGGACGGGGAGAGGCGGCCCTGCACAAGATCCGGGCGGGGAGAAGAGAAGGGAGGAAAGGGAGCTGTTTCCTTAAAGGGGGCCTTGAAGGGGAAGGGGGGGGAGAAGCTTCCTCCTGCAGGGATCTGGTGGAAAGGGAGTTGCAGGGAAGGAGGCGGGAAAGGGGAGAGGGGTGGGCATTGCTGGCCAGGTTTGCAATAAAAATAATAATAACAGTAATAATTTTGATATTTATATCCCGACCATCTGGCTAGGTTTCACCAGCCTCTCTGGGCAGCTAACAACATCTATAAAATGTCAAATGTTAAAAACTTCCCAATACAAGGCTGCCTCCATATGTCTTCTAAAAGTTCTGTAGTTCTTTATCTCTTTGACGCGGGAAGTGAGGGCGCCATTACCTAGAACTCCCTCTGCCTGCCCTGAAACTTCACTTCTCGCAGTGAGAGAACTGGCAGAAGAACCTCGTAGGAGGACCTCAGTGTCCTGGCTTCCTTCCTTATCTTTAGGCACCAGGCCAAAGCATTGCTCTTCTCCCAGGCGTTTGGCTCATTAAACAATCTATGGACTTCACAACTGCATGGGGGGGGGCGGGAGGGTTGTCGTTTTTATTTCTTACTCTGCTATGCATCTCTGTGTTTTTTCTCTTGTAAGCTGCCCTGTGATCTTTGGAGGAAGGGCAGTATAGAAATGTAAAGAACAGCAGTAAAAATAGGAAGCCCTGTTGTGTTCAAGGGGGAGGTTGAGACAGAGTCTCTGACCAGCAATGTATAGCAGGACATGCTTAGGATGGAATATTATTATTATTATTTTATTATGAATTCATTACTTGCAGCCTGTCTATCTGACTGTGTTGCCTCAGCCACCCTGGGCGGCTTCCAACAAAATAAAAACATTAAAACATCAAAAACTTCCCTGTACAGTGGTACCTCAGGTTAAGTACTTAATTCCTTAAGTACTTAGCCCGTACTTAACCTGAAACTGTTCTTAACCTGAAGCACCACTTTAACTAACTGGGTCTCCTGCTGCTGCCGCGCCGCTGGAGCATGATTTCTGTTCTCATCCTGAAGTAAAGTTCTTAACCTGAAGCTCTATTTCTGGGTTTGCGGAGTCGGTAACCTGAAGCGTATGTAACCTGACGTACCACTGTACAGGGCTGCCATCGGAGGTCTTCCAGTTTGGCCTTTGATTTTTCAAGAAATGCCCTCTTTAAGGAATCTGCTCTTTAAGGAGCAGTGCTCCAAAGTGCTTATCTTGTGAACTTGCCGTCTAAGTTGTTTACTCCTGACCAAAGCTCCTGTTTCCCAAAAGGACAGGAGGGGGAGCAGAGGAGGAAACGGATGGGTTTGAAGGCTCCTTCCACAAGCCACCTCTCTCCCCTGAGCAACAAGAGCAAAGGGTGTTTGCAGGGCAGGAGGACAGAGGAGGAGGCAGTGAGGGAAGAGGGACGAGTGGGCGGATCCCCCGCCTCTCCGAGGGGGTCCAGATGCAAGCAAGGGGCTTCCTTCTTCTCCATGCAAGGGCCACCCATGTATTCAGAGCAGTCCTTTGCAGATGAACTCTTAAGTTCCAAGGGATCTACTCTCAGGCCACTAATGTGCATACCATGCCAGCCTTAGGAAGGGAGGTGGGACAGGCAGGTGAAAGGAATTTGCAAGGGTGTTTGAAAATGGGTGGAGGATCTTGGGAAGGGGGTATCCAGTTGGGGTTTCTCCAGGGGCAGCAGAATGTCTTGGGCAGGAGAATCCCGGCAGGGCCTCTCAGACTCCCTTGGCTTCTTCTTCCCTCCCTCCCAGGAAGCTGCAACTTGCTCTGGCTTCTGCGCTCCTCAGGAAGCTGAACCTGCAAACCTAGCTGAGACTGATCCTGCAACCCTGGCCAGGATGGAAGGAGGAAGATGGACGGGTGACCTGGTCAGGCCCTCTCCCGCATCCCTCCCCACAACCTCTGAGCATTCCCTCCCAGGACCCTTGGAGAAATCTGGTGAGTTCCAGGGGAGAGGAGATGGGGACAGGGATAGATGGATGGTGGAGGGAGAAAGAGGAAAAGATGGGGAGGAGACAAATGGAAGGAAGTTCCTGAACGTAAGAAGGAAGGGGTGAGGCCTTCTCCAAAGCAGCTCTTTGTTTCTTGAATCCCTTTCATAAAGTAGTGGGGGCAGACTTTCTTCCTCCAGGATTTTAAATCTTAGGAGTTACAGTGGTACCTCGGGACTCAAACTTAATTGTTCCAGAAGTCTTCCAAAACCAAAGCGTTCCTAAACCAAGGCATGTTTTCCCATAGAAAGTAATGCATTAATCCATTCCAGACTTTTAAAAACAACCCCTAAAACAGCAATGTAACATGAATTTTACTATCTAAAAAGACCATTGATCCATAAAAAGAAAGCAATAATCAATGTTCTGTACCATAAAATAAATAAGACGGCATTGTAGATGAAAAAAATTAAAATTAATTTTTTTGTACCTGCACTGATTATAGTCATTGATTAAATGGGGGGCTTTTATGCCTTTCCACAGTCAATCTATAAATCAATCATAAAACAAAAACAAGCCTCAGTCAAAAATGAAAAAGCCACAAAAACACAAAAAATAGGAAAAAACTAAAGCAGCAAATGTCACCTCAGAACACTGCAACCAGGAATGGCTTGAATATTGATGGGGGCGGAGGAGCTTAAATTAGCTGTGCAAGGGAACAAATGGCCTTGATTACGATGGAGACAACTTAAATTAGCTGCTCAAGGGTAAAACGGAATGAAAAAAAGCCTTAAATAGGATGGGGGGCACCTAAAGTTACTGCGCAACAGTACAAATGGAAGCTCAGGAGCACGTTCGGTTTCCGAGGCAAACTTCAAAAACAGGAGCACCTACTTCTGGGTTTGCAAATGATGAATCAACAGAAGCATAGTCAATCTATGGACTTCCCTCTTTTTTTGAAATATTTTTATTGTTTTTTACAAATACAAGTTTATATCAAAGACATTTTTCTAATCATTTCATGAGATTCTCTGAATCACATGACTTCGCTCCATCCCTTTCATGGGTCCTTATATTAATTTTTTCAAAACTACATACAGTGGTACCTCCGTTTGCAAACGGGATCCGTTAAGGAGCCCCAGACAGAGCCCGAATTTTTTGCAAACCGGAGGACCGCTTCTGTACACGCACGCGGCGCAATAGAGTGTTTCTACGCATGCGAGCAACAAAACCCGGAAAAATACCAGAGGGTTATGTAACACAATATACTAGTGTATAGATACATTCTCCACAGTTTTCATTTATCTAAATTGTGCATAAACTTATTTACAAGTGATTCCTAAAGTCCAGCTAAATTTTTGATTTGCGTGCAGTAATCTCATAGGTAAATTATAAAATTTCCCCATTCTTTTTTAAAGTCCTTGTTTTCTTGATTCCTGAGTCTCGCGGCTAATTTTGCCATTTCGGCAGAGTCCAGCAGTTTGGCTTGCCATTCTTCCCTAGTTGGGATTATTGCATCTTTCCATCGTTGGGATAATAACATCTGTGCAGCTGTTGTCGCATACATAGTCTTTCCTGGTCTTTTGCGATCTCCGTACCTGTAATTCCAAATAAATATGCTTCTACATTCTTAACAAACATTATTTTAAACATTTTTCCCCAATTCATTATATTTGTTGTTGTTGTTTAGCCGTTTAGTCGTGTCCAACTTTTCATGACCCCATGGACCAGAGCACGCCAGGCACTTCTGTCTTCCACTGCTTCCCGCAGTTTCGTCAAACTCATGCTGGTAGTTTCGTGAACACTATCCAACCATCTCGTCCTCTGTCGTCCCCTTCTCCTTGGGCCCCCATCTTTCCCAACATTAGGGTCTTTTCCAGGGAGTCTTCTCTTCTCATGAGGTGGCCAAAGTATTGGAGCCTCAGCTTCAGGATCTGTCCTTCCAGTGAGCACTCAGGGCTGATTTCCTTAAGAATGGATAGGTTTGATCTTCTTTCAGGCCATGGGACTCTCAAGAGTCTCCTCCAGCACCATAATTTAAAGGCATCAATTCTTCGGCGATCAGCTTTCTTTATGGTCCAGCTTTCACTTCCATACATCACTACTGAGAAAACCATAGCTTTTACTGTATGGACCTTTGTTGGCAAGGTGATGTCTCTACTTTTTCATTATATACCATTTCCCAAAATGATACTGTTATCTTACATGACCACCACATATAGCAAACGGTACCCACTTCCTCTTTACACTTCCCTCAGATATTTGAACTTTCTCTATACATTTTAGATAACTTACTAGGAGTCAAATACCACCAGTATATCATTTTCATGTAGTTTTCTTTCAATGTACAGCAAGCTGTGAATTTCAGATCTGTTTTCCAAAGCCTCTCCCAATCTGCCATTTGTATGTTATGTCCTAAGTCCCTTTCCCATTTCGTCATAACTGATTTGACCTGTTCATCCTTTATATACCGTTCTAGGAGCAAGTTACACATTTTAGACAGATCTTTTTATGTTACTTCCTAAGAGTTCTTTTTGAAATGTGATGTCTCTTAACTAAAACCTTTCTTTTTGTCTATCTTAAAGATATCGTTTAGTTGATAGTACTGTAACCAGTCAGTTAAAGCTTCCCTTATCTCTTCAAAATCTTTTAATTTCAGTTGGTTTTCAACTTCAGTTAACAGCTCTCTATAAGTCGGCTGATAACTTCTCATATTCAATTTTTTTCCGAGATATTACTTCCAAGGGGGAAAGCCACCAGGGTGTTTTTTACTCAAGCAAATTTTTATACTTCTCCCATACCCTACAAATTGGTTTTCTTACTATATGATTCTTAAAAGCTCTAAACACCTTGGCCTTTTCCTACCATAAATATGCATGCTATCCATTATTTGTGTTCGTCCAGATCTAAAATACAGTATCTGTGTTTTCCATTCCCGGTTCTAGCAGATACAGGATGCTTCATAATAAAGTTTTGTAATGGTTATAGGGGTTGCTCGTGCGTAAGTTGCCGCCACTCCTGGCTAGGTTGCCTGGTTAAACCTTTTCTGTCTGGACAGCCCTTCACTTCGTGGCTGTTTCAGTCGCTAGCAGAATCCGTCAATGGGCGTTTCTTGAACCTCTTCCAGCAAAGAAGTTCTTTGACGCCAAGTCTCCGCCTACTCTCCCTGCACGGAAGTCTTCTGCGCAGGGTGGGTGTGGGCAGCGGAGGACCTGTTCTCTCCCCGCTGGTCTCTGGCGAGGAGTCCTGGAGCCCCCTCGCCGATTCCCCCATCTGCCCCCTTTATCCCTGGTGTTACGCTGATTTCCTTCCCCAGCCGATGAGCTGCCTCTCTCCCTGCTGGGCCCTTCTCCAGCATCGCTTGGGAGCCTTGCCTCCGCCTCTAGCTCCAATGGCAGTTCCCTGACAAGTTTCAAATCCGGCAGGGCGAAACCTCCTCTCTCTCTCTTACATCTGTTAATAATTTATTTTTTATACTTGATTTCGTCCCTTGTCAGATAAACCTAGATATATCTTCTTGCCATTTTTCAAAGCATCCTGCGTTGCCTATTGCCAGGACTGATTGGAATAAAAATAACATTTTTGGCAATACATTCATTTTTATTACTGATATTCTTCCCCAAAATGATAAATTCATTCTTCCCCATATCTCTAAAGCTCTTTTTATTTCTTTCCACTCATTCTTGTAATTGTCTTTAAAAATATTAATATTCTTAGCTGTCAAACAAATACCTCAGTATTTGACTTTGTTATGTATAACTAACTCTGTTTTCTGTTGTAATTCCTTTTGATCTTCCTCCATTGTGTTTTTTACCAAAAACTTAGTCTTATTCTTGTTTAGTTTAAAGCCTCCGGCCTGCCCGAAGTCCTGTATCTTTTCTACCACCTTCGGTGGAGTACCGTATTTTTCGCTCTATAACACGCACCTGACCATAACACGCACATCGTTTTTAGAGGAGGAAAACAAGGAAAAAAATTCTGAATGAAACAGTGGATGTATCATTTTTGTGCTTCATGCTGTGGCCACAGACATGTGATCTGATGGTGAATTTGGGGTAGCTCAATGCAAAGATCCTGAGGATCCATGTGGATCCATACTTTTTAACCACGTTTTTGCACCATTGCAGCCCCAGGCAACAGTGGGTGTGTGATTTTGGGGGGGCAGGCTGCTATGTGATCTGATGGTGAATTTGGGGTGGCCCAATGCAAAGATCCTGAGGATCCATGTGGATCCATGCTTTTTAACCACATTTTTGCACCATTGCAGCCCCAGGCAACAGTGGGTGTGTGATTTTAGGGGGGCAGGCTGCTATGTGATCTGATGGTGAATTTGGGGTGGCCCAATGCAAAGATCCTGAGGATCCATGTGGATCCATGCTTTTTAACCACATTTTTGCACCATTGCAGCCCCAGGCAACAGTGGGTGTGTGATTTTGGGGGGCAGGCTGCTATGTGATCTGATGGTGAATTTGGGGTGGCCCAATGCAAAGATCCTGAGGATCCATGTGGATCCATGCTTTTTAACCACATTTTTGCACCATTGCAGCCCCAGGCAACAGTGGGTATGTGATTTTAGGGGGGCAGGCTGCTATGTGATCTGATGGTGAATTTGGGGTGGCCCAATGCAAAGATCCTGAGGATCCATGTGGATCCATGCTTTTTAACCACGTTTTTGCACCATTGCAGCCCCAGGCAACAGTGGGTATGTGATTTTAGGGGGGCAGGCTGCTATGTGATCTGATGGTGAATTTGGGGTGGCCCAATGCAAAGATCCTGAGGATCCATGTGGATCCATGCTTTGTAACTACATTTTAAGTGGGGAGTGAAGGAAAAACACAGAAGGGACAAGAGAGCGGTGTGCAGAGAATCAGCTGGCTAAGAAAGCAGGAGAGGGATTTTACGGGAGGAAGGAAAGGAAGGCAAAAGTTTCCACAAACCGAAGCCAGCTTTCTCTCTCCTCCTGCATGTTTTCTGGCTGCCTGCGAGGAGCACGAGGAGCACGGAGAGGAATTAGAAGGAAAGACCTCTGCTTTCCCCTCTGCTTGCCTGGAGGGGAGGGGCTTTCCCTGCTCTTTGTTCTGTTTGAGCAAACACAGCAACGAAACAGAGGAGGGTGGGCAGTAAGACCCTGAGGCAGAATGCAGGAAAGCAACCACTTCCTCTTTTCAGGTTTCCCTCTCCGACACAACGCACGATTGATTTTTGCTGATTTTTGTTCCTGCGCTCCCCTAATCGGCTCCAGGGACCCCCCACATTCGCTCCATAACACGCACAGACATTTCCCCTTACTTTTTAGGAGAAACAATCTGCGTGTAATAGAGAGAAAAATACGGTATTTTTGGGATCCACTATAATTACAATTACTGTAAAAGCTTTTAATTTATATGCTTTATTTTCTACTGTTATTCCTGTAATTAATTTCTCCACTTTTTCTCTCTCGCCAGGGCCTCTAATACCAAAATAAATAATAATGGTGATAGGGTATCCTTGTCTTGTCCCCTTCATTATTTTACACTTTTCTGTTATAACCTTATTAACAATCAGCATAGACTGTTGGTAAAAATAAATTGCTTCCCCATAATTCATTTTTTCTTTTATATTTTTCATAAAAGCCCATGAAACATTATCAAAGCCTTTTCAGCATCTATAAACATTAAGGCCACTTTTTTTTCATTTCTTACTTTCAAATATTCAATAATATCAATTATATTCCTTATATTCTCCTTCATCTGACGTCCTGGTAGAAAGCAGGCCTGCTTGTGATGAATTTTTTCTGCTAAAACACCTTTTATTCTATTGCCCAAGATATGAGCAATAGTCTAAATGGATTTCTATGGACTTCCATCCTACAGGAGTGATGGCCAACAACTTGGATAGCTTGAAAAAGAGGATTAGACTGAAAGCACAGGAAGGCAGGGGGCTCTTGTACTCAAATCCTGCTTGCTGGTTTACTGGAGGCATTTAGTTGACCACTGTGAGAACAGGATGCTGGACTAGGGGGGCCTTTGCTCAATCGAACAGGCTCTTCTTATGTTCTAATACAGGCATCCCCAAACTTGGCCCTCCAGATGTTTTGGGACTACAACTCCCAATGTCCCTAGCTAACAGGATCAGTGGTCAGGGATGATGGGAATTGTAGTCCCAAAACATCTGGAGGGCCAAGTTTGGGGATGCCTGTTCTAATATATTGCAATATTTTTACAGTTACATGTGGCATAGGTAACACAAAAGTTTTACTTCTTAGTCATAGGAGAGACTGCTATTCAAGCCTGTGATCATTTCCTCCCTGGAAAAAGAGAAATACTGTGGTACCTCGGGTTACATACGCTTCAGGTTACATATGCTTCAGGTTACAGACTCTGCTCACCCAGAAATAGTGCTTCAGGTTAAGAACTTTGCTTCAGGATGAGAACAGAAATCGTGCTCCGGCGGTGAAGGCCCCATTAGCTAAAATGCTGCTTCAGCATAAGAACAGTTTCAGGTTAAGTACGGACCTCCAGAACGAATTAAGTACTTAACCCGAGGTACCACTGTACAGAGATGTGTCTAAGAAGCCAGTTCCACCATAAATTATAACATAAATGCATTTTATTAAGTGAATGGAGTGATCATGTCTCATTCTTGCCATTATCACATCTACATTCCTAGAAGTTTGGAACGTAAGAGAGGACAGTGGAGAATGGAGACTGTTAAAATAAGAGACAGTGCATATTGGGATTAACGTGTTTTTTAGTTCCTTTCTTTTCTTTCTTGAAAGTCTTAACAGGATTCTCCCCCCCCCCCACTCCCAAACAGGTGAGGAAGATGATGGCCAGAATTCTATGGAGTCATCTGTGAAATCATTGGGAAGAACAAAGAAACAGTTTAAATGCCTGGAGTGTGGGATGTGCTTTAGTCACAGTGGAAGACTGAGAAGACACCAACAAACTCATACAGGGGAGAAACCATTTGCATGTATTGAATGTGGAAAGAGCTTCAGTAAAAACGGAGCACTTAGAATACACCAACGAACTCACACAGGGGAGAAACCATTTCAATGTATTGAATGTGGAAAGAGCTTCAGTGTAAGTGGAAACCTTAGAAAACACCAAAAAACTCACACGGGGGAGAAACCATTTGAATGTATTGAATGTGGAAAGAGCTTCATTAAAAGTGGAGCACTTAGAAGACACCAACAAACTCACACAGGGGAGAAACCATTTCAATGTATTGAATGTGGAAAGAGCTTCAGTCAAAACGGAGCACTTAGAATACACCAACGAACTCACACAGGGGAGAAACCATTTGCATGTATTGAATGTGGAAAGTGCTTCAGTGAAAGTGGAACACTTAGAAAACACCAAAAAACTCACACGGGGGAGAAACCATTTGAATGTATTGAATGTGGAAAGTGCTTCAGTCTAAACGGAGCACTTAGAATACACCAACGAACTCACACAGGGGATAAACCATTTAAATGTATTGAATGTGGAAAGAGTTTCAGTGAAAGTGGAGCACTTAGAAGACACCAAAAAACTCACACGGGGGAGAAACCATTTCAATGTATTGAATGTGGAAAGATCTTCAGTCGATATGAAGCACTTAGAATACACCAACGAACTCACACAGGGGAGAAACCATTTAAATGTATTGAATGTGGAAAGAGCTTCAGTGAAAGTGGAACACTTAGAAAACACCAAAAAACTCACACGGGGGAGAAACCATTTGAATGTATTGAATGTGGAAAGAGCTTCGGTGAAAGTGGACACCTTAGAAGACACCTACAAACTCACACGGGGGAGAAACCATTTGAATGTATTGAATGTGGAAAGTGCTTCAGTCAAAACGGAGCACTTAGAATACACCAACTAACTCACACAGGGGAGAAACCATTTAAATGTATTGAATGTGGAAAGATCTTCAGTCGATATGAAACACTTAGAATGCACCAACGAACTCACATTGGGGAGAAACCATTTAAATGTATTGAATGTGGAAAGAGCTTCGGTGAAAGTGGACACCTTAGAAGACACCAACTAACTCACACGGGGGAGAAACCATTTAAATGTATTGAATGTGGAAAGTGCTTCAGTCTAACTGAAAGCCTTAGAAAACATCAACGAACTCACACGGGGGAGACACCATTTAAATGTATTGAATGTGGAAAGAGCTTCAGTCAAAATGGAACACTTAGAAGACACCAACGAACTCACACAGGAGAAACCATTTAAATGTACTGAATGTGGAAAGAATGTGGAAAGCTTCAGTCCATATCGACACCTTATAAGACACCAACCTCAGCTGCAGTAGAGCACTTAGAATACACCAACTATTTTTTTAAAAATAATATTTATTAAAGTTTTAAAGGTTACAAAAGGAAAAAAGAGAAAACACCAAATTAAGCAAAAAACAAGACAATACATCACAACAAGTAAAAACAAACAGAAGAAAAAAGAAAAAAACAAAAGAAAAAAGAAAAAAAACAAATCAAACCTTCCCATTACTTATCTTTCATTTGCTTGTTTCCTTGACCTCCTCGCACCTCCCTTTTTTGTATTCTAGTTGAGTTAGATATTTCAGCAAATCCTTTCCATCTTTGTTTTTATCCTATTAATTTATCTTAATATACTGTAATTTTACATTCTTCCAGGATATGCCTGGAAGCGAAAGGAAAGTCCAATGCTGTAAAGAAAAATATTGCATAGGAACCTGGAATGTAAGAACCATGAATCTGGGTAAGTTGGAGGTGGTCAAAAGTGAGATGGCAAGAATAAATATTGACATCCTGGGCATCAGTGAACTAAAATGGACAGGAATGGGTGAATTCAGTTCGGATGACCATCATATCTACTACTGTGGGCAAGAAACCCGTAAAAGAAATGGAGTGGCCCTCATAGTCAACAAAAGAGTGGCGAAGGCTGTACTGTATCAAAAATGATAGAATGATCTCGATACGAATCCAAGGCAGACCTTTTAACATCACAGTAATCCAAGTTTATGCACCAACTACTGGTGCTGAAGAAACTGAAATTGACCAATTCTATGAAGACTTACAACACCTTATAGAAGTGACACCAAAGAAGGATGTTGTTCTCATCATAGGGGATTGGAATGCTAAAGTAGGGAGTCAAGAGATAAAAGGAACAACTGGCAAGTTTGGCCTTGGAGATCAAAACGAAGCAGGGCAAAGGCTAATAGAGTTCTGTCAAGAGAACAAGCTGGTCATCACAAACACGCTTTTCCAACAACACAAGAGACGACTCTACACATGGACATCACCAGATGGGCAGCATCGAAATCAGATTGATTATATTCTCTGCCGCCAAAGATGGAGAAGTTCTATACAGTCAGCAAAAACAAGACCTGGAGCTGACTGTGGCTCAGATCAACAGCTTCTTATAGCAAAATTCAAGCTTAAACTGAAGAAAGTAGGAAAAACCACTGGTCCGGTAAGATACAATCTAAGTCAAATCCCTTATGAATACATAGTAGAAGTGAGGAACAGGTTTAAGGATTTAGATCTGGTGGACAGAGTGCCTGAAAAACTATGAATGGAGGCTCATAACATTATACAGGAGGCAGCAACGAAAACCATCCCAATGAAAAGGAAATGCAAGAAAGCAAAGTGGCTGTCCAATGAGGCCTTACAAATAGTGGGGGAGAGAAGGCAAGCAAAATGCGAGGGAGATGGTGAAAGATACAGGAAATTGAATGCAGATTTCCAAAGAATAGCAAGGAGAGACAAGAAGACCTTCTTAAACGAGCAATGCAAAGAAATAGAGGAAAGCAATAGAATGGGAAGAACCAGAGATCTGTTCAAGAAAATTGGAGATATGAAAGGAACATTTCGTACAAACATTTCCATAATAAAGGACAAAAGTGGAAAGGACCTAACAGAAGCAGAAGACATCAAGAAGAGGTGGCAAGAATACACAGAGGAATTATACCAGAAAGAAATGGATGTCCCGTATAGCCCAGGTAGTGTGGTTGCTGACCTTGAGCCAGACATCCTGGAAAGTGAAGTCAAATGGGCCTTAGAAAGCACTGCAAATAACAAGGCCAGTGGAAGTGATGGTATTCCAGCTGAACTATTTAAAATTTTAAAAGATGATGCTGTTAAGGTGCTACACTCAATATGCCAGCAAGTTTGGAAAACTCAGCAGTGGCCAGAAGATTGGAGAAGATCAGTCTACATCCCAATCCCAAAGAAGGGCAGTGCCAAAGAATGCTCCAACTACCGCACAATTGCACTCATTTCACATGCTAGCAAGGTTATGCTTAAAATTCTACAAGGAAGGCTCAAGCAGTGTGTGGACCGAGAACTCCCAGAAGTGCAAGCTGGATTTAGAAGAGGCAGAGGAACCAGAGACCAAATTGCAAACATGCGCTGGATTATGGAGAAAGCTAGAGAGTTCCAGAAAGACATCTACTTCTGCTTCATTGACTATGCAAAAGCCTTTGACTGTGTCGACCACGGCAAACTATGGCAAGTTCTTAAAGAAATGGGAGTGCCTGATCACCTCATCTGTCTCCTGAGAAATCTCTATGTGGGACAAGAAGCTACAGTTAGAACTGGATATGGAACAACTGATTGGTCCAAAATTGGGAAAGGAGTACGACAAGGCTGTATTTTGTCTCCCTGCTTATTTAATTTGTATGCAGAATACATCATGCGAAAGGCTGGGCTGGATGAATCCCAAGATGGAATTAAGATTGCCGGAAGAAATATCAACAACCTCAGATATGCAGATGACACAACCTTGATGGCAGAAAGTGAGGAGGAATTAAAGAACCTTTTAATGAGGGTGAAAGAGGAGAGCGCAAAATATGGTCTGAAGCTCAACATCAAAAAAACGAAGATCATGGCCACTGGTCCCATCACCTCCTGGCAAATAGAAGGGGAAGAAATGGAGGTAGTGAGAGATTTTACTTTCTTGGGCTCAATGATCACTGCAGATGGTGACAGCAGCCACGAAATTAAAAGACGCCTGCTTCTTGGGAGAAGGGCAATGACAGGCCTAGACAGCATCTTGAGAAGTAGAGACATCACCTTGCCAACAAAGGTCTCTCTTAAGGCATTACATGCCGTAAAGTTCATACCTGTGGTCCATAACTGTTCCCAGTCAGCCATCATAATGTTGTGTCCAACATCTTGTGCCCATTTAATCATAGCAGATTTCACCGTTTCATCCTGAGTGTTCCATTTCAACAGCAAGTTATACATTCTTGACAAGTTCTTAATTTTGGGATCTAACAGTTCTGTTTCCAATTTTGATTTTTCCACCTGGAAGCTAATTTTCTTGTCCAAATTGTAAATCTCCATTATTTGGTAATAATGAAGCCAATCTCGCACTTTGTTTTTTAGTTTTTCAAAACTCTGCAGTTTTAATCTATCTCCCTCTTGTTCCAAAATTTCCCAATATTTCGGTCATTTGGCCTCCATATTGAGCTTTTTCTGAGCCTTCGCTTCCATTGGTGACAGCCACCTTGGAGTTTTGTTTTCAGGCAAGTCCTTATATCTTATCCAGACATTAAACAGTGCTTTCCTAACAATATGGTTTTTAAACGCTTTATGTGCTTTGACCTTATCATACCACAAATATGCATGCCACCCAAATACATTATTAAAACCTTCTAAGTCCAGAATGTCAGTGTTTTCAAGAAGCAGCCATTCTCTCAGCCAACAAAATGCGGCTGATTCATAATAACGCTTAAGGTCTGGCAGGGCAAATCCACCTCTTTATTTTATTTTATTTTATTAAAAGTAATATTTATTCAAATTTTCAAAAATACAAAAAATCAAAAACATCAACAAAATAACATAAAAGAAGAAAAAAGATAAAACAGAAAAAACAAAAAAGGTATAGATTCAAATTGCATCATCTCATTAGCTTGTGTCTTAGACCTCCTCACACCTCCCTTTTTGTATTCTAATTTGTTCATTATTTCAGCAAATTCTTCCCATACTTCTCAATTTTTATTTAAATAATTTATCTTAGCAATCTTTCTCAATTTACCATTATTGTCTTTAACTTTATCTTACCTTCAAGACCATAGACTTCAAAATTTAGAATTTAAACCATATTTATACTTAACTCCTTCAAGCCTTTCTGCTAAAGCCAATTGGTTCCTTTCCAGCACAATCTGCTATTTCATTAATATTACACAGAAATAAAAAGATATATAAAAAGAGGTTCTCTTCTAATTTTGTCCGTCGTCCCTTCTTCCTGGTTTCGGGTTGTGTCAGTCCTTCTTCCCTTTAAGTCTTAACCATCAATCCGGTGTTCTGATGTCTGAGGCTCTCAGGTCACTTCCATGTCCCCTCTGCTGGTTTTCTTGTTCCTGTTTATGATAAGACACTTCCTTGTCCCTTGTTGAATTCTTTCGTAGTTTCTTCCCTTTCTCCTTGGGGAGTGGGTCTCTGGGGAATTCCATGCAGTCGTAGTCTCCATTTTCTTTCATCAAGTTGTTCCATTCCCCACAGTCCCACTCCCCTATGCTGATTTTGTAATCCAAGCAATAGTTGTTCCAGAGATACTTATCATTTTGTTTCACAGTCCCACTAGAGCTAAGAATTTCCATAACTCCAAAAGCTTGCAGACACTCTTCAAGTTCGATGACTTTAGATCTCTCCCTTTGTAACTTTTGAGGTGCAATCGCAACCTCTTCCATCTTCCACTGCCCTTGGACTTGCCTTGAGTCAGTTTCCTGAATTGGTTGTAGTGAAGTTTCTTTCTCTTCTTTTCCTGTCAGTTCATACTTTCTGGCTACAGCAGCCATAAAATCCAGCTTTTCATTCATCAAGTTCATATCCTCATGCAGCTGCTGCAGCAAAGCCTTCACTTTGCCAAGGGCAGAAGGTGGAATTTCCTCCCTGCTCATTTCTGTTCAAGGTCAAGTATCTGGTCCCACGCTGATTCTCACAGCTGTTATGTCTCCCTGTGGACTGCAGCAAAAAAATTGACAAGCTCCCTCTAGGGGACACAGTTTCTATTTAACGCCCATCTTTAAAATGTATCCAACAAAGGAAATTTTACTTTCAATTTTCTAGTACTTTGTTTCCTTACAATACAAAAAAGCAGAGAGCAACATTAAAGTTAATTTGTTTCTCTTTTATTTCTATCTGTCCAAGAATATTCCGTTTTCTTCAAAGATTACTGTCCTGACGTCCCGTCCCCGGGTTTGGGACGTTGGAAATTTATATTCCTTTACTCTCTTTCTGCAGGGTTAGACGGTCAAAGTTCTTCCCCCCCCCTTTCCTCCTGTTGTCAAGAGGGTTTTGGTGGTCATGGGTGCAGGAAATTTCAATCTTAAGATCAAATTCCAGGCTATTTAGCTTGTACGATCTTTGCTTCAGTCTGTTTACAAAAAGCGGAAGGCGGACTTCCTGTTTAGACCTTCCCGCTTCGTTACCTAATTCAAAGATTTTTCCTTAGTCAAATCT